GCGATCCCGTTGCCGGTCCCCGGTCCGGTACGGGGGCAACACTGAGGGTTGCGATCCATTGCCGGACACGGAAAAAAAGACAAAAAAAAAATAGACACCATAACTTAGTGCAAATATAGTACAATATAATTACCATAAGTTAGAGAAGAAACATTGTGATCATATCCAATGATACCAAAAGGCATTTGAATAAAATCCAGTGTCAGTTAGATCAAAATCCCTTGATACTACAGAAATACTGTAGGTACTTTCTCAACATGATAATAAATTGTATGTTAAGTCAAAAGCCAGCATGGTAACAAGGTGCTTAGTCAGTAAAATACTCAATTCAGTCTCATTAAAATGAGTAATAAGGCAAAATTTTCTAATAAGACTTATTGAACATTCTGAAAGCAATAGCTAAAGTATAAAAAATAAATTAGCAATAAAATTATGTGGAAAAACAGAAGAGAAGTATTAAAAACAAAAGAAATGACAATTTAGCTAGGTGGCAAATAAAAAATTACAAAAATGAAGCTCTCATACAAACTAAAAAGGAAAACATAACCATTTAAAAAATAAGCTCGGGCCGGCCCGGTGGCGCACTGCTACTTGGGAAGTGCGGCGGCGCTCCCGCCGAGGGTTCGGATCCCACATACAGACCGACTGCTCACTGGCTGAGCGAGGAGCGGGGGCAACACCGAGGGTTGCGATCCCGTTGCCCGTCCCTGTCCGGTATGGGCGCGACACTGAGGGTTGCGATCCGTTGCCGGTCACGAAAAAAGACAAAATAAATAAATAAAAAATAAGCTCAAGATCCCTTTCACATTAGCAACAACATTAAAAAATAAATTGGTAACACTGCCTAGGGACATAAGAGAAGAATTAAATAAGTGAATAAACATGACTGTGCTCTTGGATAAGGCTTGTCATTATAAAAGTTTATTATAAAATTTATTATAATTTTTATATTATAATTATTAAATTTTATTATAAAATTATTTTCTTTTAAATTCAACAGTAAATTTCATTAAATCCCAATTAAAATTTCAACATGATGATTGTTAAGGGCCTAAAAAATCATTCAGTTGAAAAGAAATATGTGCAAATAGCAAGGAAAATTCTGAAAAGTCTTTATGTATCATGAACATAGACAATTTATAGAAGAAATTTCAATGACCAGTAAACATGTGAAACTATGTTCTACCTCACTAATTGTTAAAGAAATGCAAATAAAAACAATATTTTTAGGCTACCAAGTTAACAAAGACTGATACTACCAAGTATTTGAGGGGGTATTGAAAGACATTTTCCTTTATTATTAATAGGAGTTATGATAGTTTTGGAGAGCAGTATGGCATTATAAAAATTGTAATGTACACACCCTTTGACCTAGCAGTTCTGCTTCTGGTTACTTTCACAAGGGTGCAAGTACATGTGTATAGCTATTTGTTACAGCATTGTTTTGGTAGTAAGGAAAAAACAACCTAAAATGAACTTAATATAAAGGAATATCCACGATTATTAAGTGGAAGAAAGAAAATTACTAAGCAGTAATATATGAACCTGTTTCTGTAAATAATAACCTTACATGCTTAAGAATATTAAGCTAGTGTATAGAAGAAAAAAATCTGTATGATGATATACCAAACTTTTAACAGTGGTTACCCCAGAAAGTTTTTTCTCCCCAGAAATTTGTTAAATATGGGAAATGTAGAAAAATAGGATTATTCTTACGGGAGATTATTTTTGAAATTGTTTTAAAAATGCATTAGCAGGGCTGGCCCGGTGGCGCACTGGATAGTGCACCGCTTGGGAAGCGTGGCGGCGCTCCTGCCCGAGGGTTCAGATCCCACATACAGACCGGTTCCCGCTCACTGGCTGAGCGGGGCACGGGAGCAACGCCGAGGGTTGCGAGCCCGTTGCCGGTCCCCGGTCCGGTACGGGGGCAACACTGAGGGTTGCGATCCGTTGCCGGACACGGAAAAAGACAAAAGACAAAAAAAAAAATGCATTAGCAGTTGTAAATAGACTTGCTTTCATTGTTTAGGGACAAGGATCCTAGTGTCTGATGGCTTAGTTTTTCTCCTTTGGTTAGATTTAGAATCTATATGCCTTTTATGCCACAGCATTTGTTTAAATTTAAGCCATTATTCTGTATTGTTTCTATTAACCTACTTTTAAAATAATTTCAATTTTGTGTAGGCGCACATAACATTAGCATTTCTGAAGCAGTTCTGATAAAAGTCTCACTATTCTTAATTATTACAGTTTTTTAGTGGAGTAAATGGTAAATTTTTCAATGTGCACATTGGCTTTGTTTTTATTTTGTTCTTTATTTTTAACACAGGCTCATTGTATCCCAAAGTAGTCAAGGTATATCTAAAGTAAAATGTTTCAGAAACTGTCTTCTAAAGATTTTCCTACCCCCTCCTCCGATAAGTTTTAGAAATACGAATTTCAACAAATGTATGTTATAGTAAAAATATGGGTAGTATGATTTGCAGTGTTACAAATATTACATATATTCATTAAGAAGAATTTTATACTTAATCAGTGTCTTTCTGCTTGAGATTTTATAAAAAACACATGTATACACACACAGAATTCTCAAGTTGATAGAGCCAATGTTTGAAGAGAGAGAATTTCTAGAAAGTAATGTTCTAACTATGTTTTAGTTTTAGGGTTTGCTTTTATATTTGGTTTTTGGTGTGTGCCTTTGCTTTTTTATGTAGATTTCGTAAAATGAACAAACGCTTGCTTCCCAGAAGACCCCTGAGTGCCTCTTTGGGTCAGCTTAATGAGGTGGGCCTGCCTTCAGCATCTATCCTTCCAGATGAAGGGGCAGTGGATCTGCCTAGCAGAAAACCCCCTGCTCTGCCAAATGGAATTGTATCAGCAGGGAATACAGTAACACAGCTGATTCCACGAGGGACGGACCCCACCTATGATTCTAGTCTGAAACCAGGAAAGATAGATCATCTGAGCAGTAGTGCTCCTGGATCGCCTCCTGACCTGTATGTCATTTTTTCTAACTCTTATTTAAAGTTTCTTCTTTAGTAGCCTAAAGTAGAATGAAGAAGGAATAACTAATGTTTTGCTTTTTAAAAACAAAACTGTGATTTTTAAGAAATAATTAGCATAAGTGAAATAACATCAAAATTTGCAAATTTTGTAGAAGGCATGACTGTTAGAATTAAGCTAGTTTCCCAAATTGTGGTAATCTTTTTTACATGTAACAATATATGAACATTAGAAGTATTTTAATGACCTTAAACTTGACTTGCATAATCTTACTCCCTTAGGCTAGAATCTGTCCCTAAGAATATTTCTGCCTTACCTGTGAATCCACATCCTGTACCTCCAAGGGGGCCAACGGATCTGCCTCCAATGCCTGTCACCAAACCACTTCAGATGGTACCACGAAGTTCTCAGTTATATCCAGCACAACAGGCAGATGTTTATTATCAGGATCCTCGAGGAGCTGCCCCACCATTTGAACCAGCACCATATCAGCAGGGTAATGGTCTTTCATTTATGTCACTCACTTTTCTTAGGAGTTAGGAGAACTGTATTTACACAGTAGCCTCCTTAAGATAAGTAAATGCATTTTTAATACTTTGGAAAAGCTGAGATTTTATGATCAACTAAATAGTATGAAATAAATAAAGCAAAGCAATAAAAATCAAACTACCTTGTCTACTAAAGCAGTTATATAATAAATGTGTCTTTATATTTATGTAAATGACAAGTCACCCAAGTAGACAATGGAAATTTGCTGGGTAAGGCAGTATATATTCATGACCAAAATTTTCTTCAAGAATGAAAAGAGAATTAATATTAAAGTGGGTGTATTAAACAAACAGTATATTTTTCTTCCTTTTAATTATCAGTATTATTTTTCTGGGCCCTGAAATGTATATGAAAAATGCAGCATATTATACCTTTAGATAGTTTACAGTATAAAATCAATAATAGTAAAGCATAGAAAACTATATGTGTAAGTAGTATATGCACGTGTGTGTTAAAAATAAAGTGATTAGTTGTGGCGGTTAATATTAGCTTGGTAGAAATTGCCTGAAAGACTGTTGAGAACTTGAGGAATCAAAAAGACTTCATGGAAAAAGTGGGCACAAATAGAGACATTGGGAATAGGAAGAAAAATTTATGGATGAATTAGAAAGGTGAGAGTCTAGAGTCTAGGAGGAGCTAGGAGGCTCTTAATCCAGATGTGAGTGTTGAGGCCTGAATTAGTATGGTGGGGAAGGAGAAGAAAGGGTTTAGAAAACAAATAAATTTGAGAAATTAGCCCAGTTTAATGACAATACTAGGTATGGAGAATAAAGGAAAGGAGATGACTGAGGTTTCATGTGTACAATTCATATGTAAAATAAACACTGACTGATCTTTTTTCTTTTTTTTTTTTAAAGATGACGTGTAAGGGGATCTTAACCCTTGGCTTGGTGTTGTCAGCACCACGCTCAGCCAGTGAGCAAACCAGCCATCCCTATATAGGATCCGAACCCGTGGCCTTGGTGTTATCAGTACTGCACTCTCCTGAGTGAGCCATGGGCTGGCCCTGACACTGAATTATTTTTAAACTGAAGTGTTGGATCTCTCTTTCAGAGGCAATATATAGTGCTATTATTTTGAAGAAAGGAATAGATTAAAGGTGCTCTCCATTTCCTTTTCCTAAGGCTGTCTTTTAATTTTGAATCAGAATATCTCCAAAATAATAGTTTTTAATTGATATGGCATTACTAATACATGCAAAATATCATGCAACTTTATCTGTGTCTTCCTTTTGACCATTCATTGCAGGAAAAATCCAACTGTTTTTGTTGAGGTGGTCAGTGTAAAAGAAATAATTCTAGCAGAATCATTAAGCAGAAGATTTAGTGCAGGAGTTAGGTGCCTACAAAATTGGCAGAATTGCTAAAAAGCGGGCTTAAGCTAGGCCTCCAGAAATGAGTCTCAGAACAGCACTGCAGAACTGGCCACCAAGAGAACCTGTTATAATGAAGAAGCAGTAGAAGTAGAAAACTTCTGTCCTGACTGCTGGCTGGTTCCAGGATTATACCACTTGAAGCAAAAGTCTGGAAATTGAAAAGGTACTGCCACAACTGTTATCTCAATAACTCTAAAGCAAAGCATATGCTACTAGATCTGGACCAGCAAAATGGACCTTTTGTGTGCTACATCTCTTTCCAGTTGATTCAGTTTCACATTCAAAACTCGTGCAAGTGCAGGAGCTGAGGGTAGCCCCCTCTTCCCAGAAGCAGGCAAGAAACAGAGCATGCGCAGGGTCCTAGGCAGGAGCCAAGGGCAGCTCCCTCTGCCCAGAAGCAAGCAAAGAGAATGCTGAACACCACTTCCATGTGGATGGGCCACCACAGCCACAAACACAGCCACTTGACTACATTGACACAAAGAAAGTCATCAGTGGAGACCAGAAAAAGAAAGGCATGTCTCTTTCCTCAAAGCCTCCTCCAGAGTAATAAAGAACCATCTGTTCTACCAGATGACCAGACATCAACATAGAGATACTAGAAATACAAAAACTCAAGAAAATACGACACCACCAAATGAGTACAGTAATTTCAAATACCAGACCCTATAGAGCAGGAAACCCTTGAAATGACTGAAAAGGAATTCTGAGCAGCAATCTTAAGGAAACTCACTGAAGTATGAGAAAACTCAGACAACATAATGAAACAAGAAAAAAATCCAGGATATGAAGGAGGAAATTTACAAAGAGATTAATACCTTTTAAAAAAATGTAGCAGAACTCATGGAACTGAAAGATTTATTCAACAAAATAAAAAGCATGACTAATAACTTAAGCAGCAGGCTACAACAAGGAGAAAGAATTTCAGATTTTAAAGATAGTCCTTTAGAAATAACCCAGGTGGACAAAAAAGGAAAAGAGAATTTTTAAAATTTAAGAGAACCAGCAGACAAACTTAAGTGCACAAACATTTGAATCATTGATGTTCCAGAAGGGGAGAATAAAGGAAAAGGCATGGAAAAATGTATTCATCAAAATAATAATGGTAAACTTCCCAGTATAGGGAGAAACACTGACCTTCAGATCCAGGAGACTCAGACATCCCCAAACAGGTTCAATCCAAAAAGGTCCTCTCCAAAACACATAGTCAAACTGACAGACTCAAAGACAAAAGAGAGAATCTTAAAAGAAGCAAGAGAAAAGTATCAGGTCACCTATAAGGGAGCCCCTATCTGACTAATGGCAGACTTCTCAAAAGAAACTCTACAGGCCAGAAGAAAACGGGGTAATATATTCAAAATAAAATAAAAATAAAACCCTGCCAGCCAAGAATGTACCCAGAAAGGCTATCCTTCAGAAAGAGTGTATTTTCCAGACAAAAACTGCAGGAGTTTACCACCACAAGGACCAGCCCTACAAAAAATCATCAAGGAAGTCCTGTATCTGTAATCCCAAAAATGATAATCACTACCACAAATACATAAGAAAGAACAAAACCCAGTGGTAGAAAAAAGTTGCAACTGAGGAAGAGAAACTAAATCTTACCACCAGAAAGAAACATAATGACAATGTGATAATGCCTCTGCTTTATTTCTGATTTTAGTGATTTTGGTCTTCTCTCTTTTTATTCTTGGTCAGTCTAGATAAAGGTTTGCAAATTTTATTGATCTTTTTAAAGAGTCGACTTTTGGGTTTGTTGATATTCTCTATTGTTTTTTCATTCCCTATTTCATATATTTCTGTTGTGATCTTTGTTATTTCCTACTTATATTTACTTTAGGTTTAATTTGTTCTTTTTCTGTTTTCTTAAGGCAGAAGTTTACATTACTGATTCCAATTTTTCTTATTTATAATATAGGCATATACAAGTATAAATTTTCCTCTAAGTACTGCATGAGCCCTGCAACCTATAAATTTCATGTTGTGCTTTGGTTTTTATCTCAAAGTACTCTCTAATTTCCCTGTGATTTTTCTTTTTACCTATTATTTAGGAGAATTTTTTTTAATTTCCCCCCATTTGTGAATTTTTTTTTTTTTTTTTTTTCTCCCTCCCCTTTGTGAATTTTCTAAATTTCCTTCTGTTACTGTGGCGGGAGCGCCGCCGCACTCCCAAGTGGTGCACTGTAGCAGTGCGCCACCGGGCCGGCCCTATATCTTTTTATAAACTATGGGAAACTCCACCCCCCACTAGCCATTCTTAGTTTCTGAACTTCAGATTATTTTATTAATAATTCTAGGTCTGTTTGGAAATTATGGTCTCTGGCCAAGAAAAAGAAACCTAAATTTAGCTGTTTGGGAGATCTTGAGAGTTTTGGGGGGGTTGTTTTACTTTGTTTCTATTAAGTTTTAGTGTTTACAAATGTTAAGATGGGTGTATAAGATACTGTTTATTTACAATATATGTTAAATGAATTAATATGTTCTGAAATTCTTTTTCAATTTTAATTAATCTTTCCATTTTCAGGAGCCCCCTTATAGCCGGCTTCCTCCTCCTCCGCAGCCCCATCCTAGTCTAGATGAGCTACATCGCCGACGGAAGGAAATAATGGCCCAACTAGAGGAAAGAAAGGTTATCTCCCCGCCTCCTTTCGCACCTTCACCAACATTGCCTCCTTCCTTCCATCAAGAGGAAGTAAGCACATCATTTTTAGTCTCAATTATCAATTTTTCCTTTTTCAGTGTTTATGTCCCATTTAAGTAATCCTTGCCTGTTTCCAAGGTTATGAAGATATTTTGCTATGCTTTCTTCTAAAAGGTTTATTATTTTATTTCACAGTTAGCTCTGTAGTCCATCTGGAATTGATTTTTGTGTATATAATATGTTTAGGAGTCAAGATTTATCTTTTTTCCCATAAAGATGTCTCATTGACCCAGCACCATTTAATAAAATGACCATCCTTTCCCCAGTGCTCTGCAGTCACCTTTGTCATAATCAGGTGACACTGTGTATTTCCGGACCCTATTCTGTTCCATTGATCTGTTTCTATTCTTGCACCAATACTACATCTCAGTGTAGTTTTATAAGTCTTGATATGAGGTGCTATATGTTTTCCCCTATTGTTTTTCTTCAAGAATCAGCATGTTGATTTCCACAAAAATATCTGCTGCAGTTTTAATTAGTATACGTTGAATCTCTGGATCTATGCTGTCCAGTGTGGTAGCCAGTAGGCCCTGTGTGGCTATTTAGTGCATAAAATGTGACTAGTCTGATTCAGATGTGCTATAAGCATAAAATAGACACTGGATCTGAAGATTTAGTACCAAAAAAAGTAAAATATTTTATTAGTATTTTTAGTATCTTGGATATATTGGGTTAAATAAAATATGTTATTAAAATTAATTTTATGTGTTTCTTTTTTTTTTAATTATAGCTACTAGAAAATTTTAAATTACTTATGTGGATTGCATTATATTTCTATTGGACAGTGTTGCTTTAGATCAATATGAGAAAAAGTTGCATCTTTGTAATATTAAGTCTCCATGAACATGAAATACCCCTCCAGTTATTTGAATCTTATTTATACTTACTTTATATTTATTTCAATGTCTTGCACATCTCACATTAAATTTATTCTTAGATAACTGATGTTTTTTGAAACTATTAAATGGAATCCTTTCTGAAATTTCATTTTCTTTTTTTTTTTCCCTCTTTGTCTTTTTTACTGACCGGTAACGGGATTGCAACCCTCGGTGTTGCGCCCGTACCGGGGACCGGCAACAGGATCGCAACCCTCGGTGTAGCGGCCGCACCGCGCTCAGCCAGTGAGCCGGAACTGGTCTCCACATGGGATCCGAACCCTCGGCGGGAGCGCCGCCACACTCCCAAGCGGCGCACTCTCCAGTGCGCCACCGGGCCGGCCCTGAAATTTCATTTTCTATTATTAATTATAGAGAAAGTAGATTTTGTGTATTGAAACTTCTATTCAGCAGGCTTGCTAAATTTCCTCATTAATTCTAATATTTGTTAGTGGAATTTTTTGGATTTTCAGTGCACACAACTGTGAATAATAACTGTTTATTTTTTCCCTTTCAGCCCTTACATCATTTTTTTTTTCTTGTTGCAGTCCAGTATAATGTTGAGTAAAAGTGGTGATGGCAGACATTCTTGACTAATATCTGATCTTTGAGTCGATGGAGCTTTTAATAATTTATCTTTATAATGTTTGCTGAAGGTGTTTTGGTAGATAATCTTTATCAAATTAATGGAGTTACTCTCTATTCCAAGTTTTAGATTTTTTTAAATAAGTGAGACACATTGAAGATTTATTTAACTAAATAATGAGGAAATCAGAAGGATGGTAATGTTGGTTTAAAGAACAGGGAAAACAGGCAAATATAGATAGTGAAAGTAAGAAAATAACAAGAATACTGAGAAATAAAGTTGCTTAAAAAAAAACTAGTTAATGTATCACAGGGCAGTAAACCATAATTTGGGGGGTTATCTTTTTATTTCTATAAGACAGTGATAATAGGGCTGGCTGGTTAGCTCCGTTGGTTGGAGCATTGTGTTATAAAGCAAGGTAAAGGGTTTGGATCCCTGTACTGGCCAGCTGCCAAAAAACCAAAAAAATATTTATTATTAATGAGTGTTGTCTTACTATCTTTTTATGTCAATATGGTCTATAGTGATGTTCATCTTTCTGTTTCTGATATTGGTAACTTTTTTTTCTTGGTCAGTCTTGCCTAGGGACAATTCTATTTGTCTTTTCAAAAAGCCAATTTTTTGGCTTCGTTGGTCTTATTTATTGTGTTTATTTGTTTTGTTGATAGTACATGCTGCCTCAGCTTATAGTACATGTATGTTTTTTCAGAGTCAAGTTTTCTTGGCAGGGTTGCAGTTAATATTATGTAAGGAACATGTATGATATCCTTTATGTATAGAATTATGATTCTAAACAGCATTGCTCACAGACTAATTATGAATAATAAACAATGAAAATTGAAAAGTGGAGTGCATCACACAAAATAAACAGTAATCTGTTGAGTGTATGAACATGATCTACTAAATAGAAGTTCTAAGTGCGTAGCTTTCCCATCTAAATACTTTGGATAAATTTTCCAAAATAATGTAGGTGAATTTGTAAAATAACATCTTCTATTAACGTAGTTTTACTTGTATAGACAGCTTGTACGATGTTTTTTTTTTTTAATTGTGGATTAGAGACATCTTTGAACCTGGTTATGCCATACTATAAATATGGAAAGCAATATGACATTATGATTTTGGAATCAACATACTTAACTTTAAGGTTCAGCTGCGTTACTCATTGTTTGATCTTTTGTAAGTTACTTAACCTTCCTGAACACCGAGACTCAGGTTTCTCTATTTATAAATCAAGCCTATAAAGTCTACCTCATAGTGGTGTGGTGAAGATTAAATGAGACACAAGGCATCTGGCACATAGAGGGCATTCAGTAAATAATAACTATTCATATTATTATTGTTTTTACTTCTAATAAAAAAATAATGGCTGGCTACTAGAGGGACTTTAGAATCATTTTAGTTACTGACATACAAAGCATATATTTAAACCTCAGTTCTGATTATAAACAACCAGTTGTGCTAAATTCATAACATTATAGAAATGAGCCATGGGCCAGCCCCCACAAGTTCTGCTTCTATTATTCATAACTTCTTTCCTTTTCTTTATCCTACCATTACTAAAAAAATTTCATACCCTTTTTTATTTCTTTTCTACTTACAAATTTCATGGAGAACAGTTAACTTTTAAAACAATGACCTACTAACAAGAGTGCTGGTCACCTCCCCTCCATTATAATATATTGTGCAGCCATTAAAACTTCTAATAAAAAAATAATGGCTGGCTACTAGAGGGACTTTAGAATCATTTTAGTTACTGACATACAAAGCATATATTTAAACCTCAGTTCTGATTATAAACAACCAGTTGTGCTAAATTCATAACATTATAGAAATGAGCCATGGGCCAGCCCCCACAAGTTCTGCTTCTATTATTCATAACTTCTTTCCTTTTCTTTATCCTACCATTACTAAAAAAATTTCATACCCTTTTTTATTTCTTTTCTACTTACAAATTTCATGGAGAACAGTTAACTTTTAAAACACATGACCTACTAACAAGAGTGCTGGTCACCTCCCCTCCATTATAATATATTGTGCAGCCATTTTTTAGAATGAAATAATTTTATATACTGACATAGAAAGACATCCAGGATAACTGGTTAAGTAAAAATGAAACACAAACCAAAAAATACAAAACACAAACACAAAATCTCAAGATGTACTACTAAATGATCCTATTAAAAATAATGAGGTTGCATTGATTTTTTAAAATGTTAAACCAGGGATGTCTGGTTAGATCAGTTGGTTAGAGCATGGTGCTAATAATACCAAGGTCTAGGGTTCAATCCTTGTACTGGCCAGCTGCCAAAAAAACAAAACAAATAAAAAAAATTCTACCTAGTGTGGTGGCGCTCCCGCCGAGGGTTCGGATCCCACATACAGACCGGCCACTCACTGGCTGAGTGAGGTGCGGGTGCAACACCGAGGGTTGCGATCCCGTTGCCGGTCCCGGTCCGGTACGGGCGCGACACTGAGGGTTGCAATCCGTTGCCGGTCACAAAAAAAGACAAAAAGGCAAATGCATAATAAACTGTGGTTATAGAAAATGGGATTTTGAGGGCCAGCCCGTGGCTCCCTCGGGAGAGTGCGTTTTTGATAACACCAAGGCCACAGGTTCGGATCCCATATAGGGATGGCCGGTTCGCTCACTGGCTGAGCGTGGTGCTGACAACACCAAGCCAAGGGTTGAGATCCCCTTACCGGTCATCTTTAAAAAAAAAAAAGAAAGAAAAGAAACAGAACTTGTGGTTGAAAATGAGTGAAATTGGTAAGCAGACCCTCTGTCAGTGCAGAAGGTCAATAATAAAGCCAAGGGTTGAGATCCCCTTACCGGTCATCTTTAAAAAAAAAAAAAGAAAGAAAAGAAACAGAACTTGTGGTTGAAAATGAGTGAAATTGGTAAGCAGACCCTCTGTCAGTGCAGAAGGTCAATAATGATGATTCAGATAGAGCCACTTAAATGTTCCACTAGCCCATAGGTATCAGTATATATACCCTGTGATAAAGTGAAAGCAGCACTAATGTTCTAGCACTGCCCTCTAATGGTATAGCCTTGGTTATCATCTATGTTACCTATCATGGAATTGAGGAGCATATGAGATAGTGTACATGAAAGCACTTTGAAAAGGTAAAACATCACATAAATGTAAAGTTGTGATTTTAGTAAAAATGCATTAGCCTTAAAATAGCTACTCTGATACTAGGTAATTGCAAAACTTATCTTGAGAAAATAAAAATTAGGCATCTTATCCTTTCTATGTCATTGAATCAACCTAAGGACCAGAATTTATTCAAGATATGAATTATTGCTTTTAAAGAGATTTCAGTAAAATGTTGATTCATCATTATGTACTCATGTATAGAGCATTTAACGTTTTTAAAGTTCTTGTTTATCTGAATGTTATTGAAAGAAACATTGAGAAGTACCTTCATGTTCTCTTGAATGTTGACTTCATCTGATGAAGAAAAGGATGAGCAGACCTCTAAAATCCTAGCTTGATTCCTGAGAGATATTGAAATACTTCTTTTTGACCTTCTGCTAACAAAGTATGAAGGTTAAACATGATTCTTCATTTAAATATTTTTTCACAGTCTATAAAAATCTTCTCTTGTGACACTTAAAAAGCAACCATTATTATGTATAGTATACATTAGTATACAGTATAATGTTCTAAGAAATTCCCTGCTTTCTCTCATTATTCATAGACCTATTTCCTGCTTTGTTTCTTTTTTCCCCCCTTCTGTAGTTTTTGGATGAAGACTTGAAGGTAGCTGGGAAATACAAAGGAAACGATTATAGCCAATACTCTCCCTGGTCATGTGACACCATTGGCTCCTACATTGGAACCAAAGATGCAAAACCCAAAGATGTTGTGGCAGCAGGGAGTGTGGAAATGATGGTATGTGTAATAGTGAAGCAATAATTAATACAAAGCAAGATAAACCAATAAATTTTCACTCATTATAGTTTAAGCAGAAATAATTTAGCTTCGTTTAAGAGTTTTAGATACTATACTCTGCAACTTAATTATATTTAAACTATTTGGTTTTTTATTTCAGTCAGGTATAAATAAAAACCTTTTAATACTTATCTTTTTTTCCTTTTAATACTTATCTAGACAAAGAAGAATATTTATTACATTGCTGTGCAGATAGCAATTTTCCAGCAATTGTTTAGAACCCAAACTAAATTATTTTACATAATTATGCAAGATCTTGGATTTCTTCCCCAAATAAATTAAAACTCTTTTTCACAACTCTGAACTTTAAACAACAAAGTTGAGTCTAGTGAGCAAGAGTAGTATTTGGGTAGTAGTATTTGGCTGGTTAGCTTAATTGGTTAGAGCATGGTGTTGATAACACCAAGGTCCAGGGTTCAATCCCTGTACTAGCCAGCCACCAAAAAAAAAAAAGGTAATATTTGAGTCAGAATTATAGCTGCTTAGCTTCAAGTGAGCTGTGAGATGTTGAAATTCATTATACTTAAGTTATTTTGTTTTTCAATGAAAAATAATGTAACATTAATGTATCTAAAACCAAGCTAAAAATATATCAGTATTTTATCTTAATTGCTTTTTTATTTTCAAAGAAATAAAATTTTCCAGAAGAAGTTGAATCCCTATGTATGTACCTCGCTAATCTCATTTTTCTCCTCTCCTTCCCTGTTAGTAACCTCTATCCTGAATTTAGTGTTTATCATTTTCATGGATAGTTTTATACTATTCCTAAATAGTGTTGTTTTGTATGTTTCTAGACTTACGTAAACTATATACTTTAACTTATATTTTTATTCAGCATTATTTTTCAGGTGTGTCTATGTTTATACCGATAGCTTAGGTTCATTCATTTTAATTGCTTTTGTCAGATATTGTATGCTAACTGATATCATACAGTAAATACATATACATTAATATATAAATAGATTATTTTCATGTTGATGGACATTTAGGGTATTTTTGATCTTTCAGAAAGGCTATCAGAAAGGGTTATTATATTAAAGTAACATAAGTATTAGCAAAATAAAACTCATTTCCTTGAATCAGTAAAGAATAAAAAAAGTCTGCAATCCATTGTAGAGATATCAGAAAGGGTTATTATATTAAAGTAACATAAGTATTAGCAAAATAAAACTCATTTCCTTGAATCAGTAAAGAATAAAAAAAGTCTGCAATCCATTGTAGAGATAATTGAAAATCTCCCAAATAGGTGAAAAAAATCTAACCCAGTACTTCTCAAATGTTAATGTTCATATAAATTAACTAGGGATCTGCATGTATATTTTGGAGTATATTTGTATGTGTGTATAAAATATATATATTTGTATGTGTATATATACACATACACACACACACACATTACATCATGATGTAAAATATATTTCTTACTGTGGGGAGTGATCGAAGTTTTTAAAAAACAATGCTTTATATGACAACCAAAGGCAAACTAATGACTTTAGTCTTACCAATAAGAGCATTATACTCTTATTTAACCTTATTACAGAGCTAGAGGAAATTATGTTAGAGATCTAAGTATGGGGTGGATTTCTCATTTTGCTTTTTTATTTATCAGAGTGTAGAGAGTAAAGGAATGAGAGATCAGCGATTGGATCTTCAGAGAAGAACAGCTGAAACCAGTGATGATGACCTCATCCCATTTGGAGACCGACCAACAGTATCTCGGTTTGGTGCCATCTCTCGAACTTCCAAAACAATATATCAGGGTGCTGGCCCAGTGCAGGCTATGGCACCTCAGGGGGCTCCCACAAAATCTATTAACATTTCAGGTGAGAATATTAGAGATATGCTGATCTAGAAGGTTCATATTCATGACTCCCAGCATCACCCTTATTCCTGTTACTATCAGCACTTTCAGTAATCTTCCAAAGCAGTAATTTTCAGGCTTTTTCATGAGATTATCACTGTATGAAAGGTAAGTATACGGGCCGGCCTGTGGCTTACTCTGGAGAGTGCGGTGCAGATCATATATATATATAGGCCGTGGGTTTGGATCCTATATAGGGATGGCTGGTTCACTCACTGGCTGAGCATGGTGCTGACAACACCAAGTCAAGGGTTAAGATCTCCTTACCGGTCATCTTTAAAAAAAAAAAAGGTAAGTATAACTCAGGGAATTCTAGGAGTATGAACTAAAATTAAATATTTAAATATGAAGATTGCCTGTTTTTTTTTAAATAGCTTTATTCCTTTTATTAAAATAATACATTCTCAGGGCCAGCCCATGGCTCACTGAGGAGAGTGTGGTGCTGATAACACCAAGGCGGCAGGTTCGGATCCCTATATAGGGATGGCCGGTTGGCTCACTTGGGAGAGCGTGGTGCTGGCAACACCAAGTCGAGGGTTAAGATCCCCATACTGCTCATCTTTAAAAAAAAAAAAATAATACATTCTCAGGGCCAGCCCATGGCTCACTGAGGAGAGTGTGGTGCTGATAACACCAAGGCGGCAGGTTCGGATCCCTATATAGGGATGGCCGGTTGGCTCACTTGGGAGAGCGTGGTGCTGGCAACACCAAGTCGAGGGTTAAGATCCCCATACTGCTCATCTTTAAAAAAAAAAAAATATATATATATATATATATATATAAAATAAAAATAAAATAATACATTCTCATTCTCAAAAAATTCAAACACAGGAAAAAAATACAAAGACTAAAGGTTCAGTGGGGAAGAAACAAACAAATATCAGTACCCTATTGCCATTTTGGTAAATATCTTTCCAGATAGCTGTATATACAATATGTTTATGCCTTTATAGATTATGAGTACTTTAAAAGAAGAATCAAATCTCTGAAATACATCATCACAATAAATCATTCTCTTACAGATTATAGTCCATATGGAACCCATGGTGGCTGGGGAGGTTCTCCATATTCACCTCATCAAAATATACCTTCTCAGGGACATTTCAGCGAAAGGTATGAGTCATTCTTTTTATTTGTACAAACAAGTAAAAACCTTTAAAATTATTCAACTTGTCTTATTTTGTTTTTCTTGTCAGTAATATTTTAACAAAATAAAACTTTAAAATTTACTTCATTCTCTCTTTCTCACCTAAGAGAGAGAATATCCATGTCAGAAGTGGCCAGTCATGGAAAACCCCTTCCATCTGCTCAGAGAGAACAGTTACGACTAGAATTGCAGCAACTGAACCATCAGATTAGCCAGCAGACCCAGCTACGTGGACTAGAGGTACCAGCCTGTAGATACTTTTTCATCTCAGTTTTTGAAGTGTTCTCAGAGATTTTAAATGGAGAAACTTTTGAGGTACTATAAACACAAAACTTTGTCTATTTCTTAAGAGTTAGTATTAGTGTCCATTCTTCAAAGAATCTAGTACTGGGTTTAGTTCTTGGGAAACTTAGAACTTCTACTACCTGAGAATAGATAAAAGATTATCTAAAATTTCCCAGCAGGAGCTTGTTTTCCCTGATGGCATATTTAAGTTTAAGGTAAATAGTTTTATCAACAAATGCTTTTACTTTAAAATTTTTTACTTTTCTTATGTCCTATAGTCCTTAGCTTTTATAAGTCTTTGAAAAGTAGAAGTTTAGAGCTTTGACTTTTAAAAAAATAGCCCCTATTACTACCACATATCTTACAATGTCCCTATAGGTAGGTTAGATAAGTGGTATTGTCCCCTTTTTTTGATTGAAGGATATGAGTTTCTTATGGGTTGAAACATGAAACCAAGTCTTCATATTCCAAACCCAGTGTTTTTTCTACCATGCTTCCTGACACTTAACAAAATCAGCTGGCTGGTTAGCTCAGTTGGTTAACATCAAGGTCCAGGGTTCAATCCCTATACTGGCCAGCTGCCAGAAAAAAAGGAAAGAAGTAATGAAAAACAAAATCAAAGAATTTTTTAAATCCCTTTTATGCCATGTAAGGAAGACTAGGTTTTGTTTATATCATCCTTTACGTGGGAACATATTCTTTGAATACAGAAAACTTAAAGACATTTTAGCGACAAGTCTATCACTCCTTTCTGGAGGGAAAAATGGAAATGTAGAACATTAGTCTTTATATTTCTACCATAACCTTTAATGATAAGTAAGTCTTTACTTTGGGGGAAAAAAAAAGTGTAACTAATCTTACCTTAGACTTCCTCATTAGAGAGACCATTAGAACATTGCTTTTGAAACAAATGTCTGGCTTCTGTTCCTATGTAAAGCAATAAGTTTTAGAAATTTTAAAATGTATGTAATGTTTATATTTTGTCTGCTTTTGTCATTGCTTTATTTATATTGGTTCAAAACTTCTTGCTGATTCCTGTCATAAAAACAGAATGCAATGTTTACTTATGTGAGTCTTCAGTTCATTAACTTCTTTAAGACTCAGATCTTCAGCCCCATAAGGCATTATACTTTATCCTCAAATTCATGGCTTTTTGTCTTCGTTGAAGTTTCTAGACCCATTTTCTGTCCCAGAATAACAACAGTATTATTTGGAAGATTATCATACACTTAATAGTTAAGTCTTTGCCATGACTGAGTTTTCATTGAAATAAATTGTAAGGTTTCCTTTAGAGAAAATTAACAATAAAACAGAGAGGGAAATATACACATTTATAGTTGACTTGTATTTCAAATAAGAAAATAAAAAGAGCAATTTATACCTAAGATGAAGTTAACTATGTACTAAATTTAAATCCTTTTTTTTTTTTTATTCAAATCGTATTAAAAAAAAGAGATGATGTCTCATAGTTGTATCACTTTTATTGCAAAATACTTGGGTGATACACTATTTAAGGCTGTGGTCTGGAATTGGGCCTGCTTCTTCTGTGCATGGTATGAAGTGTGTTGAGTTGTATATGTGCTTGGCTTTATGCACTAGGCCGTTAGTAACAGGCTGGTGTTGCAGAGGGAGGCGAACACCCTGGCAGGCCAGCCACAGCCCCCACCACCACCACCTCCAAAGTGGCCTGGAATGATCTCAAGTGAGCAGTTGAGCTTGGAACTGCATCAGGTGGAAAGGGAAATTGGGAAGAGAACCCGGGAACTAAGTATGGTAAGTGTTATGGTGGCAAAAGAAAGGGAAGGTGAAATGAAATTTTCTGTGTGGTTATATCACAGAAACTCATGGCTCTCGAGTTTTAGAATCATCTTAGAACTATAGAATCATCACTCCAAGGTACTCTGATGAGTGATTAATATTTAGAATAAATCTCAAGATGGGCTGCCTCCCTATTTTATCAATTCTCTCCTCATTTCCATTTGGTTTGGGTGTGTTCTTTGTTTTAGGATTCTTCATTAACTTTTAGGGAAAACAAGGTAGTTAATGGTAGTTCTTAAGTTTCTATTTAGGGGGCTGGCCTGTGGCTCACTCGGTAGATTGCGGTGCTGATAACACCAAGGCCACGGGTTGAGATCCCATATAGGGATGGCCAGTTCGCTCACTGCCTGAGCGTGGTGCTGACAACACCAAGTCAAGGGTTAAGATCCCCTTACCGGTCATCTTTAAAAAAAAAAAAAAAAGTTTCTATTTAACATACTGATTAGGGAAGCAGATGGGATAGTGTTTACTATTTTGCAATACCATCATGTTATATAAAATAACATTCTAGTTTTTGTAACCTTTAAGCTATTGGTGACTTTTTTTTTGTTATGAGTGAGATGCACTCTGCACATTCTTTCCTGTGGAACTGTATCCATGAATAGCGGGTTCGGATCCTATATAGGGATGGCCGGTTTGCTCACTGGCTGAGCGTGGTGCTGACAACACCAAGTCAAGGGTTAAGATCCCCTTACCGGTCATCTTTAAAAAAAAAAAAAAAAAGTTTCTATTTAACATACTGATTAGGGAAGCAGATGGGATAGTGTTTACTATTTTGCAATACCATCATGTTATATAAAATAACATTCTAGTTTTTGTAACCTTTAAGCTATTGGTGACTTTTTTTTTGTTATGAGTGAGATGCACTCTGCACATTCTTTCCTGTGGAACTGTATCCATGAATAGGCTTAGGATTTGCTTTACAGTGCACAAACATTCATTTCAGTAAACTTTGAATCTTAGGAGATTGAACTATCCTTGCAGTTGGCGTGTTAGTTGACATTTTTGTTGCATAGTTTTTACATTTTTTCTAAACAAATAAATTGAGTGTGTAGTTTGTCTGCTTTCAATAAACATATTGTACATACTTATTATACCATACTTTGGCTTGCTTTTTCTGCGTCATTGTTTTTTTCTGTGGGATTTTTCCATGTTGGCTTTAGGGAGTCTCCTTATTGTCTAGCTTAGATAGTAGGCAAGTGGGTTGTACTCTATGTTTTTGTACTTGTCTCTTTTTTAGTCTGCATATTTCTTTGGTCATTTTACAAATCTAAATATGGTTTTTGGGTCAGCAGTTTGTTTGTATTATTTGTATTTGGCCTTTTCCATTAGCACCATTACTAGAAGATAATGGTTTTATTTCCTTCTCTTTCAAAGGAGAGCCAGTGTTCTATGGACATGAAAAGTAAATTGAATGCAAGTAAGCAAGCAGAAAATGGACAACCAGAACCACAAAACAAGGTTCCAGCTGAGGACCTTACATTAACGTTCAGGTAAATAAAGAGTCATTTTCATAGTCTTGTTGAGCCACACATAAAAGGAATAATTTTATTACCCAGTCATAACAGAATTACTCTCATAAATATGTTTTGATTTTTAAAATATTATTGTGTACATTGAGAAAAGAATATTTTTGCATAAATGTAGGAGTTATAAACTTGTACTCAGAACAGATCCAAGGTTTAATTATCTGTTAATAATTAACAAATGAAATTTTCTGTTTACATTTCCTATTCCCCCTGTTTTTAAATTTATTTTAAATGCAGCCTTTTTTGGGAGGTGGGGGGGATAGCTTGCCAGTACAGGAATCCAAACCTATGACTTGGTGTTAGAAAGCTACACTCTAATCAACTGAGCTAACCAGCCAGCCTCTAGCCTTATTTTTTAAATTATAAAAGTAATATATATTCATGTGAAAAAATACTCAAAAAAAAAAAAAATCCAGAAAATAAAAGCCCCCCTACCCTTTTAAATGTTACAAAAAATAAGTTGTAGGAAATTGAAGTGTGTGGGCATCTAGCCTCTTGCTGGTTTTTATAAACCCACCCACCCACCACCCATATCTATCCCAAGTCATCCAATATTCTTCTGTAGGTATGAAAAGATACGTATCAACTATCATGAACAAACCTGCAATAAATGATATTGTAATAAATTCTTTTTTACATGTCTTTAATTATTTTTTTAGGATATTTTGAGGCTTTTGAATACATAATCCTGTGTTGCCCTCCTGATACTATATAACAGGAATTTTTAATGCCCTGTTGCTTTCAGGCTTGGGTTTTGTTTATTTTAAATGCATGCATCATCCTGGGTTCAAAATAATTTCTTATGCTAGTAAACCAGCTAAGTCAGGGATCAGCACTTTTTCTTAAAAGCCAGATAGAAAATATTTCAATTTGTAGGCCTTATCCTATCTTTTGGAACTCTCAACTCTGCACTGTGGTGTGAAAGCTGCAGTAGACAGTACGTAAACAAATGGACAGGCTGTGTTCCAATAAAACTTTATTTACAAAAACTGGTGGCTGGTTAGCTTTAGTTTGCTATCACTGTGCTAAAACATGGATGAGGAGCTCTAAATTAAAATTTGAAAGTCATTCATATATTTTCCCACAGTGCTAAGTGGTATAAACCCTTTTGGTTTTATTCTACTAAATAACTTTCTCTCCTTTTTAAAAATTCCAACTACCTTTTTTTTAATGTTAACAGTGATGTACCGAATGGATCAGCCTTGACACAAGAGAATATCAGCCTCCTATCAAACAAGACCAGCTCTCTGAACCTATCAGAAGACCCCGAGGGAGGAGGGGATAACAATGACTCCCAGAGATCAGGAGTTACTTCCAGTTCTGCTCCCTAAAATATGAGGAGACCTACTTTTATCTTCTGCTCCTAATCAGTTTGTGGGGCATAGGGTAGGAGAACGGATAACTTCTAAACTTTTTCTCTAAGAGTGGTCAGAGAAATCCAGGAAATGCACCGGAGGCAATGTGCACAAACACCACTACTAAAAAAAACCCTGCACATAGTTCCCATTAATGCATTTTTTAATTTAAAGAAAAAGAAAATTAGCAGTATCTGCAAGCAATTCAGATTAAATTTGTTTTTGTTCTGTGAATGAACTTTATTTTAATAACTTTGGACGCCTTGGATCCAGGGCTTTAAAAAAAAGAAGATATTATATATACACTCTGTTTGATTAATTGTATGATCTCAAAGAAGTAGGTTTTTCTTGTATTTTGGTATTATTACATACCCAGTGTATAATTCCTTACCCCTAATCCTTGCCAACTCTCATTACCTAGTAAACTAAAAGAGACAAAAAGCACCAGCCTTTTTGAGAATTATGTGGTGCTTGAGAAACAAAGAGATAGTAATAGACTGAGTTATTAGAAAATGTGCAGCAAACCAACTTTTCCCAGAGCTGTTATTTGTAATTCTTTTTTCCTTTCTGAATCACTAGCTTCATGGATAAGGATGTTTTTTAAATGACATCAAAACTTTTGTTTCTTGTTTTTATTTTCAACTTTTCAGAGAGATTATTACCAGACAGTTAATTTTTGAGGTCCCCATTTCCATTAAAGATCCTTTGTATTACTTTAATGTAATCAAAAAGCTGGTTCAGCATTCGGATTATTTGATTCAATTTAAATAGAGTTTAAGAATGAACTGTAGCTTACTAACACTGAAAATACACAGTTAGTGTATTGCCTGTGTTTAGCTCATGGTTGGAAATTTGGAGCTGTGCTTTCCACATTAAACTTTTGCTGAAATCATAGAATGCTCAAAAGCCAGGACAATCAACCATGTTTTAAAACTGCAACACTTGATTTGAACTTAAAATGAACAGAGCCACATTATTTCAATGGATGTTTTTGTTTAATTCTCAATATCTAAAAGTATAAAATAAAATTCCTATATACTGGAGTCCCTGGCTTTCAAAGAGATTTGGCAAATACAAACTACCTGAGTCTTAAGGATAATTTATGAATTGATCGCTTGTTGCTGCTCAGAATCATTTGCATAAGTAGATAGTAAATACCTCAAAGTCAGTTTTCATAGACTTGGCTTTCCAATATTTAAAAAGTGTCTTCATGAAAATGTTGAAAAGAGTAAGGAAGATTTTTTTTATTACTTAGTTTTGCTGCACATATTCTGATGCCGTGTGTCTGTGCTTAACTAAGACTGTAAAACATGTATAGTGCGGATTGTTTCCTATAGTCACCCTCTCCATCCCTCTGCCTGATTTTTTCAATTTCCTTTTCTGGATTATACTACTAAATCAGAAAGCACTGGTTATGTAATAAGTTACTGCATTGCTTTGGTTGGGTAAAAGCAAGAGTTTATATTTTTCTTGTTTCTTATTTTCTTAACCCTTAAGTCCTGCTGAGGTCATAAAAACCTCAGTCTAAACTTTGTGTCCATCATACTGTTAATTGAAACAAATGGGGGGGTGGGAAGTGTAATACAGTCCTGCCATTGCCTACCAGTAGGAGAGTCCAAACAGAACACTCTTTTGAGTAGCAATTATTTAATTTGCCCAGTCAAGGCACCGTGTTTATATACTATTTCACATTGAATTTGATTATGCCCTACAGACCTGGCTGGTCAAGGATTTGATATACACATATTGGCTTGGGATTCGAGCTTTCTTTTTTATTTAAATAAAATTTATATATATTATATATATACATATATACATAGCTATATTTGTATATATATTGGGTATGTTTTAAGGATTTTTTCGCATGAGCGCAGCTGTTGCGATAAAATGACTGATTGGGAGCTAGAAGCACTGAAGGAAGGTGAGGCATTTTTTCAGTTGATAAATACATCCCCCGCCCCCCTGTTTTAAAAATACATTTGCTTTCTTGCCCCCCCCCTTTTTTTTTTTTTTTTTTTTTTTTTTTTTAAACTTTAAACTCTCTTGCATTTATGCTTTAAATGCTTATTATTTATTGGGAGAAGGAAAGAAACTTTTGTATGTATGTCTGATAAAGTCCCAAGATGTTTCACTTCTCTGCATAACTATAGAAGGCAACGTTCTTGGCCTCCAACCTTTTCTAGGCAGATTTGGGCAGATCTTATTTCTCCTTTGGATATATCAGATAATTCGTAAATTTTAGAAACCATTGGTACACTTTGGAACTCAGAATGATTCTGGTAATTTGAAGAGAATTTGTGGGTATTGATTGTGTTGAAGTTCATAATAAAAGTAAAGTTCCATTTTGGGTATCTATTGAAACCCCTAATAACTCAATTTCTGTTATTCTTGTGGTTATTTCTTTCAAATACATTCATTCTTGCTTTCACCATTTTGATTTTGTGAGCTAGGCAGGAGCAGGGTATGAATTTATACAGTATTCCTGTTCTAAACAAAACCAGAAAAGCCACAGTTTAGAGTTGACTTAAAATAGTATCTTACTCTTTTTAAATGTATTTTCATTTGCCAGTGGGGGAATCTCTTAAACTATAGCCTAATTCTAGCTGTACCCCTGCAAGGCCCCGTACTCCAGAGGAAATCTTGTTGGGTAGAAAGGCAGAAGAAAGCTACAGTGTCCCATTATGCCTATAATTTATCTGTTTTGAACTGGTCATTCTGCCTTACCTAATAGAAATTCTACAACTTTCCTAGTGCTCACCAGTAGGTTTAGGAATTCAATAAAACCTCCAAACTTTGGGAGTTTTCTTCCTTTTCCTTTTCTCTGTGATGTACTTTGTGATATGATGAGCTTGTAAAGGTAAATGGCCTCTTTGGGCATAATTGCTTGACTCTGACTGCTTTTTTATCAAAATCTGCAACTCATTGTTTTTTTTCTGGCTTTTGAATTTTATTTTTTATTTAGAGACAGGTAAGAGGTGAAACAATCAGAAAGGAAATACAGTTTTTATGCTTTCTACTTAAAATATCTTCTGAAGATGACTTTACTTGCTTTTCACTGAATTTAAAAGACTTGGGCATTTCAAATGAACATGAACAATTCTGAAAGGGTTAATGTAGGAGTAATAAGCATTGTGTTTACTCTTGTTTACATAACAAAACCAGAATTTTATTATAGTGAGGAATAAAAAAATACTTTGACTTACTCTTTTTTCAAGGGGTTTCTGGAAAAGAGTAGAAGAATTGAGAGGACACCTACATTCAGTTTCCTGTATTATATGTAGTTCTTTTACCTAATTTATAGATAATATCACAAGATAAGTCCAATAGCTGCCCTGTTGTGGATAATTTGCAGAGGCTTAAGTGGCCAAAGATCCATTCCTTGTTAATTTTCTAATTAAAAGAAAAGTTATAGTTTAGGTTTCTAGTAATATTATTCAAGTGATAAGACACTATGCCTAATGCCAACTACAAATATTCAACTACTCAGAATGTATAAAAATTTGGTACAGCGTTAATGTGTGTGGTTCCCTTCTCCTATTCTTTCCCATATGTTTCTTCTTTTGCCTAAAAGAAAATTGGTATTATTCTTATTTGCTACTTTGAGTATAACTCCATCACACTTTGCATAGGTCTTCAGGGTTGGAGCTCAAAGTTTAACTCTTGAGTTTTTCCATGAATGTCTTTTTTTAATGCCCCTTTTCCATTCTGCAATTTCCCCTTGACTTACCCCCTGCTCTCCCCAATCTGCAACAGTGACAGTTTGCTGCCTCAAAACAGAGCATTCAAATGAATTCGCTTAGCCAATAACTTCTGTGAAGTTGCCTTTTCTAATGGTGTTATTACTCAGTGATGCACAAATGTGGTATTTGCCCTACTGGTAGGCAAACAAAGGTCTGGTTAAGAATGGTAACCTGCTGTTTTCTTTAAAGGAGAGCCAAAGACTTGTGCTTTTCTCTGTTTTGGTTTGGGAGGATGTAGTAGCCATTTTGATTGTGAAACCTTTTGGTATTTGTGAGTTGATTATACTGTGTAAGTAGATTTATCCAAAGTGGACTATTAAAGTTAGCTGGCCTTATAAAATGTAAAAGTAATGAAAACTCATCAGTTTCTCTAAACCAGTGAACATCGTCTTTTACAGTATTGTGCATCAGCATGTCCCCCCACACATCCACTGGGTTTTTTTTGTTGTTGTGATAGCATTTTCTATGTTTTTATGTTTTTTCACTTGTGCCTAAAGGACAATATGCTATCACTATGGTCTAGTTCCTGGGACTGGGTAAAAGGGTGTGTGTCTGGTGAGAAATAATTAACTGTATAGTAGGTAAATGTTCAGATTATGTTTAGATTCAGAGAAAAATATTCTTTTCACTAAAGAATATTAAGTTGCTGTTACTTATTTACAAATGGTGGTGGATGGAGGTCTCACTATCATCATTTTTCCACTTTCTTTTTTGCTCATTTTAAAGAATTGAGTAAAGAATTCAAATATAAAATCTATCTGTAAAACTTCTCTAATGATTTATATTTAATTAAAGGGAATGGCCCGATTCCTTTTTAGGACAAGTTAATAACCTGCCTGGAAATGAGCATTTACTTCGATTTTTACCCGAAAAGAGTCTGTGTTCAGTTTTTAGCTGGTGATAATAACATGGTTACAGTGTTGCAAGGTGATCTTTTCCACTGAAAAATCTGCCTATCCTTTTAAAATAAAAATCAGACAGGGCTATTAAACTAAAGCAAATATTACTTTCAACATTATAAATTAAACAAGCAAGCAGTCTACTACTGTCATCATTTTACCAGAGTGCCCGTGCCTATCCTTTTAAAATAAAAATCAGACAGGGCTATTAAACTAAAGCAAATATTACTTTCAGCATTATAAATTAAACAAGCAAGCAGTCTACTACTGTCATCATTTTACCAGAGTGCCCATTTTGCTGGTCCACATTCATACCTTCCTACCTTGGACAGCTATGATTTTAATATTTATTTG